AAAAAGAGAAACTTGATTACCATTACAGATAATTACCTTTAAGAAAAAAAAATTAATTGTATAATACACAATAGAAAAACATACGTTATAATTTACTACTGAAGAAGACTAATAATCGTACATGATAATACTGCAACAACAACAACAATAACAACATATCCAATAAAATCTTATTAGTGGAGTCTGTGGAGAGTAGAGTGTATGCAGACCTTATCCCTACCCTGAAAACGATAAAGAGGCTGTTTTCCGGAGACTCTCGGCTCAACAAGAAAGATAATAGTATCAGAAGAAACAAAAAAAAAGGCATTTAACAACAAAAGATGCCAGAAAGAAAATAATAACAACGAATAAGTGAAAGGACAATAACACAAAACTATGCAAAACAACAATGTGAACACAACATAGACCGCTAACAAACCTAAACAAAACTCTACCAGACTACCTGGTACAAAGAGTGAAGAACTCCCGACTACCCCCTAGCCTACCACTCTAATGCTCGACCTCCACATATTCCTATCAAGAGCCATGTCCTCGGAAATCTGATGTTGCGCCATGTCCTGTCTGATCACCTCGCCTCAATACTTCTTAGGCCGCCCTCTGCCTCTTCTTGTACCTGCCAAAGTCAACCGCTCACACCTTCTAACCGGTGCATCTAGGCTTCTCCTTCGCACGTGTCCGAACCATTTAAGCCGCGCTTCCCGCATCTTGTCGTCCACGGAAGCCACGCCCACTCTCTCCCGAATATTTTCATTCCTAATCTTATCCAGCCTAGTGTGCTCACATATCCAACTCAACATCCTCATTTCTGCTACTTTCATCTTCTGAATATGTGAATTCTTGACTGGCCAACACACAACTCCATACAATATAACCGGTCTAACCACCACTCTATAGAACTTACCTTTGAGTTTCTGTAAATATCTTCATTCCTAATCGTACGTGATATACAGTAAATAAAAATCAAAAGTGACAATCACAAATAAACTTATCTTTGCAGACATCGATATTATCAGGAGTCTATGATAAAGAATGTGGCATATTGACTTTTTTTTTATAAAAGTGTTCACTTCCTCCGTATTTTAAATGGTTTTGATTTTAATACTCTAGAAGCTTTAATCCTAAGATAATTTTGGTAAAAGAATACTAATCCTAAACTAACATTAATTGGTGGTTTTTTATTCGGTTATGGTAAAATAATGCTAAACCTAAAGTAACATTAATTGTAGAAAACTAAAGATGAGACGTATCCTAGATAGTTATGACAGGGATATATAAAAGAATACTAAACCTAATAATATTAATTGCTTTTTTTTTTGCTTTTGGTTTTAAAATTTTAGAAAACCAAAAAGATCTCCTAAACCTAACAGGAAAAATTTAATACGCCTAAATGTAAATGGAGTTGACAGTGAACGAATTGTCCTAGTGTGAATTGGAATTGAAAAATCAAAGCTTTATATAGTAGGAAAATTATTAAATTACTATTCCTAAATAGTAGGAAATTAATTAAATGATTATTCCTAAATAATAGAAAAAATAATCAAATGGCTGTTTTATCCGGTGTGAACTATATTTTAAAAGGGTAAAAAAAGCGAACGACATTTGGCTAAGGGTCTTCGTACTTTTAATATAATTAGTCTCAGGATACGCGCATTGCGCGTGAACCTGGACTCAAGGAATACGAGATTTCAAAAGAATCACATAACATTATTTAAATTTCATATTTGAGTTATATAATAAAAGTTAATGAAAAAACTTTAAAACTATGAAGCTGATGAATGTTGATTTTATTTAACTAACTCAATGAAGGAAAATGCTCTATCATGTTAAAATCGTCAAAATTCTAAATTTTAGTTATGCCTTAAATTAATTATTAATTGCAATTATGATTTATCTGACATGAAAAGCATTTACGAAGGGTAAGAAAATCTATCAACATTTTGTATTAGAATTTCGTGCTTTTATAATAGAGTGTATATATACATATATTGACAAATAGATATATTATACCCGTCTATGAAAAAACAATTAATGCAAATATAGATCCTTAAATCACATTTTACTAAAATTATAATAACACTTAATAAGTTGAATATAACCTTTTAAATATGAGATAACATTTACATTTTAATATAACTGGTTAACATAGTTTAATTTATTGAAGGAGTAATTAGTTTTTTAAAGAGTATCGAAACTTTTAACTCTGTGATAATAATTAACTTCATATAAATTACCCCATAAATTTTTAGGTTATTAGGTACCTTAAATTTTACTTCTTATTTTGTTAGTGTTATTCTAGAACTTGAAGGGTTATTTTATACTGTCAAAATATTCAAAATTAATATATAGTAAATATTTATTTTAATCATTTAAACAGATATTGCATTTAGTTAAATATCAATTGCTATTTCCACTGATTATTCTCATTTACGTCTCGTATTGCTTGACATGATGTGCTTATGTGATACGCGTAATAAAATTGTTGTACTGTTTGGATTTTTAAGTTTTAATTATATTAGTTTGTGTTGAAACATGTGATCATATTTATGAAGAAAATAAGTATATGTAATGCTACGTGAGAGAGTTAACTTTTTAGGAAGAAACATACCTATAATGACAAGTCAATAGTTGTTTTACACAAATTCAAATAAGCAATATATTTATATAAGTTTAATTTTACTTTACTTTAAATATTAGGATGTTTTTATATCCAAATAAGGAAAAACTTAGTAGTCAAATTTTATTTAGTTTCAAACTCCTAAATAATAAGAAAATAGGTAAATGACGATTTTGTTTAATATAAGTTCTATTTTAAAATGGTGAAAAAGGCAAACGATATTTCGCTAAGGGCCTTCGTGCTTTTAATATATATATATATATATATATATATTGAT